AATGTATCTAGTTTGCATATCAATTCCAGCTCAGCAGTCTCTCGTTGGAGTCTGTTTTTGAAGTTTTTCTGTGGTAAGATAGCCACCCGCAGGTCTGTCATTGAATGACCAGACAGGTTAAAGTGTTCTCCCACTGGTTTTTGAGTATTATGATTCCTGATGTCAGATTTGTGTCCATTAATTCTTTTGCGTAGAGACTGTCCGGTTTGGCCAATGTACATGGCAGAGGGACATTGCTGGCACATGATGGCATATATCACATTGGTAGATGTGCAGGTGAACGAGCCCCTGATGGTATGGCTGATGTGATTAGGTCCTATGATAATGTCACTTGAATAGATATGTGGACAGAGTTGGCATCGGGCTTTGTTACAAGGATAGGTTCGTGGGTCAGTGGTTTTGTTCAGTGATGTGTGGTTGCTGGTGAGTATTTGCTTTAGGTTGGGGGGGTTGTCTGTAAGTGAGGACAGGTCTGCCTCCCAAGATCTGTGAGAGACTCCAAGGAGAGACTGCTGAGCTGGAATTGATATGCAAACTAATACAATCAACTCAGGATTGAATAAGGACTGGGAATGGCTGAGCCATTACAAACATTGAATCTATCTCCCCTTGTAAGTATTCTCACACTTCTTATCAAACTGTCTGTACTGGGCTATCTTGATTATCACTTCAAAAGTTTTTTCTCTTACTTAATTGGCCTCTCAGAGTTGGTAAGACAACTCCCACCTGTTCATGCTCTCTGTAGGTATGTATATATATCTCCTCAATATATATTCCACTCTATATGCATCCGAAGAAGTGGGTTGCAGTCCACGAAAGCTTATGCTCTAATAAATTTGTTAGTCTCTAAGGTGCCACAAGTACTCCTGTTCTTTTTGCGGATACAGACTAACACGGCTGCTACTCTGAAACCAGCAAATAGATGTGTATATCTGAATTTATTTATGAACAATTCATCAACAGAAAAATGGGCTACATTTGCAGCAGATATTTGTCATGAATAAGTCAGCTAGTTCTGTTTAATATACCAAATAAGGAGTTCAAAGCCTAGTAAACTGAAAGATTATTGGAGGCTCTGATCATCGGAAAGGTTGCGATCAGCTGAAAGGAGTTCAGAACACCACTCGTTCATCTATTGTGACCTAGTGCCACCCGTTCAAATACATTCTCACACATGCAGTTTCTAATGCTATCCTGAAATATGTTAGGCAGGACTGGGAATCCCTGCTGAAGTCACCATAGTTTTATGGTGCTAGCATTTTATGTAAGTCACATTCTCTGATCTACTGTTTTAGCTTGAGTTTAGATGTTTTTATTTGAGCACTGTGTGGCTATAATGTAATGTAGTAAACCATGTTGAAAGCAGTTTTGCCATTTACTGAAATCTTGCAGTTCCTATTGATATAATCCCCTGAACTTGTTTTTATAGTTTCTCTAGTCACTGGTGGGTATTGGAAGAATGGTTAACAAAACAATATTTCTTCAGGCTCTCTGGAGCCATACTATCATTAATTTATGAAACAAACTGGGACAGATGAAATGCTCCTTGGAAAAGTGGCAACCACTTTTAAACTCTTCCACTTACAAAAATTGGGAAGAAAGCTTTGTTGCTGATAGCTAAATGCTGAGAAGTTTATTTTTGAAATGGGTATTATTGGAGTGTAGACGTGTAGGCTTGCGTGGCCACCCCTCACTGTCAATCTCCGAGGGGGGGCATGCCTCTTCGCTGTCACGCACCTGCAATGGCAGTCTGTATAAGGGGAAATTAGCTGTTTCTAGGACTCAAAACCTCAGACAGGGTAGAGCAGTGAACAGTTCAGAGGCCCAGGCCCTGGGGCATGGCATGGCACCAAGTACAGTCTAGGGGGCTCTGGCAAGGGGTGAGCGCCCCAGCAAGCGCAGGTCTCCTGACCTAAGGAGCGTGGAGTATGGCCACCCCAGGGGAGGAGTAGCAGGGGGGACGTGGGCCCTTTCCAACTCCGAGCCTAGGGCCCTAACAGTGGCAGAGTGGTCTTCCACTGGGTCAGCGGGGATCCTGACCATAACACGCTGACCTAATCTCTGGCAGTGCTGCAGCCAGACTTGGGTCGGCTGCCCCTGGGGCACTTCCTATACTCCCCCTTGGGTGTACCTTCCAAGGGTCATCGTCCATCTCCCCAGGGTACACTGCAAGCGGCAGTCCCAGCAACTCCTCAGCGTCCAGCGTGTCTGGACATATGGGTAGCTCAGAGCCCTCCTTGGGACAGCAGAAGTCTTCTGCAGGCTCCTGCATCTACGGTGGGGAAAACGTGTCCATCTCCTTTGTCAGCTGCCTCCCAACTGAGCTACAGAGCCCACCTTTTATACTTTCTGTTCCTGTCCTGCCCCTCTGTTTCTGGTGTGGAGAGCGTGGCCTTCCTGGTTCTGCCCAGCTGGGGGCAGCTGGCTGCCCGTCACTGGCAATCTCTGAGGGCGGCCATACCTCTTCGCTACATGGAGGAAAAGCTCAAATGTCATTAATGTTGTTGCTACTCTGTACATTTTGTTAAAAATATGAAACTTTTAAAGGGGCACGCAAGTAGAAACCAAATTTAGATATGTTTAAAAAACGAATACAAATGTTTAATAGCTTTGAATTTTCCAGTAAAAGAGACTTTTCTTTAGATTAAACATTCCCTTCTGGTGTTTGTAGAGTGTACAGAGGAATTTAACTGAAAGATGTAGTCATCTGTTTTCTGGGTACTGCAACATTAAATGCAGAAGCGATTCTTCCCTCTTCCAGGGTCAGCAGTGAGGTAGCTGCCATTTTGTTTTTCATTTCAAATGCAGAACATTATATAGGAATCACTGTGCATCCTCTCCTTTCCCCTGCTTCCCTCTGTATTTATTCTCTTTTTCTAAAGTAAAAGTAGTCTAGACTAAAAGTACAATTTTTCCCTTTGTACATGTGTAATTAATGTACAGCACAGTATTGCTCTAGATATTCTAACTCATCTTTAACACAAGGGACTTACTAGGTAGGACACTACAATTATCCTCAATTCTTTTTCAAGAGTGCCATTATATCTTGATCTTCCACCAGGGATGACACCAAAGATAGACCTAAAAACTGAAAAACAGTTCCCCTGTCATTGCAGTGTCATTCTCCCTAGTACCACAAAAAAACATGGACATTAAGTTTGAGCCTAACTTCATATTTGGAATTTGAAATTTAAACCTCCTGGCCCAGAAGGAGACACTGCTGGCAGCTGAACCACACTAATATCTCTGGCTCAGCTGTGTTACAGCAGGTGCAGCACTTTTTTGTAGCCTTCCGCTCTGACAGTGCTGTGTTTGACTCCCAGTTGCTCATATTCAAAGCTATGATGAATATTCTCCATGCTGATTCAATAGGGGAATGGAGAGAGTAAAATAAAAGGTTAGAGGTACTCAGACTGAGGGTTTTGTTTCGTTTGAGAGAATTGATTGTTCTTTCAGGGTCATCTCAATTGTATGTGTCCTGTGCCTCTCATATCACTGTCATGTGGTGCCTGCTCTCTTTCCCCTGTGACCTTCCTGTACTCTTTTCGTTCAATAACCCACCTGAGCAGCTGGAGTTTGAGGGTGTAGTAGGAAATGTACCTGAAGAAGCTTCAGATGACTGCTCCATTGTTGCTTAGTGTAGCACAGGAAAACAATTATAAGAGGCTAGGCTCTTTGGCGCTGCCAGCAATTCTCAGAAGCTATGAAAATGTAGGAAATTTGTATCTGTAACAGACAGGCCATCAGCATTAGGTAACAAAATTTGTATTAATAGAGCTTCTGAGCCTTGGGATGGGATACTCAAAAGTGCGCCCCAATCCCATTCTGGACATGCTGGAAAGGGAGGTGACAAGTCAGGGGTCTGCTTCATTATGCAGACTGTCCACAGTGGCATAAGTTAGAGGAGTCCCAGGACTGTTCTGAATTATGCTAGGACCAGGCCAGTGCAGAATCAGGGACCCATAACTTTCTCTTCAATGCCCGCCCTCCTCTTCTGTGCTGAGCAGAGCTAAGAGGTGAGAACTGAGCTTAGGGTCTGGGAAAAGGGGAAGAGTTTGGGGAAAGCTGAAGATAGGAGTTGGCCTCTAATAAAAAACTGGAAACTAAACATTCAGTGTGATGACCTGTGCACATCCCTAACTAAGATCTAGGCAATAGAGAATGAAGTTTAGAACACTGATTTTATTTGTTTTGAGTTATTAGTATTCTCCCGTGGTGGGGTTCAAATTTCTCCACCTCTGCCATAGAATATGTGGTTCAATAGTCTGGTCTGGACTGATGGAGTAAATAAAGAACAAGGGTGGGTTTTTTTCCCTTTAACATTTACATTCAGATCTAGGGTATAACGTAGCCACTTTGTGCTGTGCTGCCAGCATAATCTTGATCCAGGGCTGGTGGACCCTTGGAGGATAACTATAATGCAAGAGAGATGGGATTCCTCTGCTGCCACAGAACCAGGGTAGAAGTTCCCACGCCACCCTCCCTACACCAATATAGTGGTATGGGCAGGGCATCCCTATGCTGCATCTGTGATAAATGAAAGGAGGGGGGGTAGCTCTCTTTTATGGACACCCAGCCAGTTAGCTATAAATCCCTCTTGGTATTTGTGCACGTTGTTTAATTAGCTGATGGCAGCAGCTGATTTCCTTTGTTTTCTTTCTCAGCTCTTCCCTCTTGAGGGGGGGAGGAGGGGGAAGGTGAAAGGGCTTGAGGGTACCCCCACAGGAAGGAATTTCCAAGTGTGCCTTCCTGGGTTCTCAAAGCGGTTTTTGCACTTGGGTGATGGCAGCATCTACCCATCCAAGGTCAGAAAAAACCTATAACCTTGGGAGTTTAATACAAGCCTGGAGTGGCCAGTTTTAATTTTTAGAATCCTTGCGGGCCCCCACCTTCTGCACTCGAAGTGCTAGAGTGGGAAATCAGCCTTGACAGCATCAATATTTGGATGTGGTTTCATCCCTTGAAACTGTTAGCAGCCAGTGTAAATTAGAGCAGCCCTACATGCAACAGGCCTTGGACTGGAAAAATGCAAAGGTGAACTTCATGTAACTTTGCATCTCCATATGCTACCTCCCTGACTTGCACTATGTGTTTCTTGGCAGTAGCTGAGAATGTGACCATTAATTGGTTTTTGTTTTTTGGGTTCTGAGTCCAGCTATTTTACAGAAAATCTTTCTTTTTCATTTTTCTTTTTCTTTCTTTCCCCTCTTTTCTTTCTTTGCTGGGAATAAGCCACAAACTTCAGCCTGAACTGTCCAAAGTTTGGAATATTTGCTGTAGGTTCTTGGTTCATATCTATCTAGGGTTTCTTTAGGTTTAAAATAATTTGCACTCAAGTATTCAAACAAAATGCATCCACTCCAGAAGAAGGGAAACTTTAAACCTCAGAGTGGTGTTGTTAATGGAGATGAGATGTCTGTGCCCTACATTCCCTTTAGAGAATCTGGTTGACATTTCAAATGCAACAAAATTCCACAAATAATGTGGCTCTGTTGACATTTCTACTGTTCTCAGTAGCTTGCCCAGCTGTAATGTGTACCTTACATAGGGTGAATATTGACACATTTTTGAGAAAAAATACCTGTTGGCTTTGTTTTAATTCACTTTAAAGTATTTGTTTCAACTGCATATTTGCTCACGTACTATTGGTTGATCTAAATTTCTCTCTTTTAGGCTTTGGCTCATCTTCATTTAATAGATTATATAGGAGAACAGACAGCTTTGTTAATAAAGGTACATTTCAACGTTTACAGTTATTTCATTCCCAAGCTAGAGAAATATTTGTATGGCTTTAATAAATAGACTGACTAATCATTGCATATTGAAGGCTATGTGAAGGGTTGTAGTCCTGCATCAGACGTGCAATGGGTGCATTTCATCCTTCAGTGTGAATGGTCTTCAATATACATCGTGTATACCTCTCCAAAGCCAGAATATATGATCTTATCTGAATAGTACGTCTTTTCTGTAGTTTTAATTCATAAAACAAGGTGGGGGAGATAATGTACAGAGGGAAAAAAAAGCTGTATAATTATAGCTGCACAGGACATTTCTTGTATGAAACATAAACATGATTGTTAGAAATGTCACTTGCTGCATGCCTCCTTTCCCGCGGTTCTGTTGAATCAGTAGAATTGCTGTGTATAAATCCTTCAGTTATTTCTTTTTAAAAATTTATTTTATATTCATATCACCTTTTTAAAAATGAGTGTGTTGATGATTTAGTGAAGAATCTGTACAATGATGCCATTAGTAGCACGCAGACATATCAAGTTATTGCTAGAGCTGAAAAAAAAATGTCGGCTAGCTTTCAGTTTAAATGGAGTTGTAACTTCATTTTTTTTAATACCAGGTGGTTCCCGAGGATCAACGCCTAGCAGTTGCTATCATTTTAGTACTCTGGGTCTCTGCTCTGGCATCCTCCCTAATTGACAACATTCCATTCACAGCTACAATGGTATGTCTCTCTTCAGCAGTTGCATTTCTTCCTTCCATTATGTGCAGTGAGTCCAACTATTTGATAACAAGCTTGCTTTGTGAGACCTTAACTGTGTTACAATTCCCCCCACCTCTTAGAGGCAGTGAATATTATTACTGGGCTTATTCATCCCATTTAGGCATTTCAGTGGCAATTTGAACATGCAAATATCAGATTTGCAAATGCCATTATGATGATTAAGTATTAAATTAAGTGCTCCATTGTACTTGCATTTTTGCACTGGCCCTGGGCTTCTGGCCTTTTAAGTATCTGGCTCTCAAATCTTCTTCTTCTCGCATTAAATCCATAGTGTCAGTTCATAATAATTCATAATGACAATGAATAGTCATTGGGCCAAGGAAAGAGTGAGAACTACTCTATAAAAACTGGTGCTTAGGGCACTAACCTAGAATTTGAGAGACCCAAGATCAAGTCCCTGCGCCAATGCCCATTTAATTATTTATATAAAAAAGGAACAGCTTCAACAGGAGAGAATCGGAAAGGCCCAATCCAGTAGAGGAGGAAAAGGCAGTCTGCATTTGCAACCTTTAGCCCAGTGGTAAGGGCATTCTCTGCAATGTGGGAAACTGAAGTTCAAAGCCCTTCTCTGTATCAGGCAGAGAGGGGAAGTGAACTTGGGTCTCCCACATGCCAGTTGAGTGCTCTAACCATTGGGGCTAATCTAGTTTGAGCTGAATGGGAACAAAGAACTGGAGCCACACAAGAACAAAACAAAAAACGGATTAAGAGAATTTATGGAATCTCTCCATTACCTAACAAATATGATTGATTCTAAATACAAGGGTCCGTGGTCGAGCTGAAAACAAGAAGAGGAGGCTGAAATTTGACTGATGGATTGTAATCCTAAAAGTCTTTTGTTCACTTGAAGCATTTAAAATTGAAGATCCAGATTTCTACCCCAAATCTACATTTAAAAAGATGATGATGTCACAGTTAATTTAATTAAAATGATGGAAAATTGTGGAAGTAAAATCGGACAGCTGAATTCAGCATTTTGTCAATGTTTTAGAAACATACACTTCTGTCCATCCAGCTCAGCAATAAAGTGTGTTTTCAACACATTCCAATAAGTTTGGCCTAAACTTTGTAATAGGTACGTGTTGTTAGAAAAAGAGCAACAAGAAGAGAACTCCACAATAAGTTTGTTCAGTGGTTTTCAAACTGGAGTACATGAGCTCTTAACAAGGGGGTACATAAGAAAAATCCTGTAGTGGCATATTTTATTTAGTGAAACTTGGCAATAAATCATAGGTATATTATGAACCTACCTCAGATGGCAGTACACAGTAGATTACATTATTTGGAAAGAGTTATGCAGCCTAAAAAAATTGAAAATCACTGTATCTATATGTATCTAAGGGCAGATACAAAAGAGTAGGGCCTACTAGTTCAGAAAGTGGATACTCAATTATTGTATCTCTTGTGTTTTATGTACAGAACTGTAAACTTTTCATGCTGGACAATATGTCTGGCTGTTTATGCTTGCCGAATGCATATGGTTAATCACATAGTATTGTTTTGTTTCATTCCACAAAAATATTCTTGATTTTTTTCAATGCCCCTGTTCTCCTTACCGTGTGTGTGTTGAATATACTCACAACAATCCAGCTTAAATGCTTTATTTTTTCATTTTAAATGCCTGCTGTCTTAGCACTGTTAATTCAGTAGCCAGGGAGTTTTCCCCTAAAAATGTTAGGTGATATAATGGTAATAAAAATCATGTTCCTTATTTTAATTGATTTGTTTTATAAGCTGCATATGTTGAGCCATCTGTTTATATATATTTTTTCTTTTATTACCAGGGACTAAAAATGTAGCCATAATAAATCCTAGTTTTAGTTGACTTTTAATACTATTTTCTCAATATACTGTAATAAATAATTTCTATTAACCACATTGCTGGCAAGGTGACTGAAACTTGACAATTCATTGTTAGAAACCAGACTGATTTTGACCTGCAACTATTTATCTCTAAAACTGACAGGTGCTTTTCATTTTCAGTGCTGTATTTTTCATAGGTATCTAATGCCCTCAATGTCACTTTAATTTTTGGATCTCCCTTTGTCTTCTACTTTACCAGAGTGTTCTGTACAAGCTTCAGTATTCCAGTCCACTGGTAAAAGTGTAAGACTGGACCCTAGCAATCTGCAGAGACAGACTGTCCTCAATGAGACATCAATGGTTTTGAGAACTACAGATACATTTTCCCATGAATACACATTTTGAACAGCGTGTGCAGTTTTCATTCCAAACAAACACTTTTCTAGTGTGTAATTCTTAGAAAAATATGTACCAAGAATTTAACATGGTATAAAATTAAGGTTTAAAGAAAACCCTTGAATAAAGAACACACAATTATCAAGTATGTGCAGGCCAGCTTGTGTGTGTCCTTATGCAAGTGCACAGGAGAGATGTGACATGGTACCTTCCACCCTCCCTTCTGTCCCTATGCTGGCATTGGGCACAGACCTGTGGGGTAGCTGAAGACACTCTTCCTGGATAGTACTGGCAGTGTTTCTAGCTTCAGCAGTGGGAAGAGAGAGAGGGACTCTATTACTACCTATCAGAACTGGGCCAGCTGGGAGAGGAATGCCCATCACTCCCTTTCAAAGGGTGATTGAAATGCTGTTGCTGCAGCAGCATGAGCTACCTTGAGTAGAAAAAGGAATTCTGTCTGAGTGAGCTGCAGCACGTTTCTTCCTCTCTGCCAATATTCTCCATGGCTTAATAGCCACAATGTAATGCATTATCTAAATATGTGCTTCAAGGAGAGCTTTCCCCATTACAACCTAGCTTTTCCTTCTCCTTGATCCTACATGTGTGACTGTTTTTTTTTTTCATAAAAATGAATTCTGTACCAATCATCATTGTTTTACACTGTGAGATGAAATTGAAGATTGTGTCTGTTAAGATCAAGCTCCTGCTTAAAAATTATCTTTAGTAATTAGGAAACTTGATAAGAAAATTGTATGAAAAAATGTTACCAAATTTTTAAAATATGCCCTGTTTTGAGTATGCCTACTTTGTGATATTTTTGTTTACAAATGATGTAAAACAAAGGATGATCAAGGAAATGGAGGGCCTATTTCACTCAAGGAGACTAAGAGAAGTTGATTTGTTTAGCCTAGCAAAACAAAGGCCGAGTGGGGGCATGATGGCTTTCTATAAATACATCAGGGGAGTAAACACCAGGAACTGTGAAAAGCTATTTAAGTTAAAGGACAATGTTGGCACAAGAACAAATGGGAATGAACTGGCCATGAACAAATTCAGGGTAGAAATTAGAAGACGATTTCTAACCATCAATGGAGTGTGGTTCTGGAACAATCTCCTAATAAGAATAGTGGAGATGAATAACCTAATTAGTTGTAAAATGCAGCTTTGCTAAGTTTATGAATGGGATTATATGATGGAGTTGCCTGCAATAGCATGGACTGGACTCAATGATTTGGGAGATCCCTTTCAATCCTATGTGTGAGTCACATACCAAAATCAATTTCCATATAATTTGCTGAGTGCCCTCCATTCCAATTCCAGCAAGGGGGTTTGAAACAACCCACAAAACCTGTTGAGTCAGGTTCTTTTCTAAGTATTTTCATATGTTCTAAGGCTAAAAGGGACCATTGTGATCATTTAGTCAGACCTTCTGTTTAACATAGGCCATACAACTTCCCCCAAAATAATTCCTAGAATATATCTTTTAGAAAAAACATCCCATCTTGAATTAAAAAGTTGTCAGTGCTGGAGACCACCACAACTCGTGGTAAATAGTTTCAATAGTGAATTACTCTCACCGTTAAAAATCTATGCCTTATTTCCAGTATGAATTTGTCTAGCTTCAGCTTGTAGCCATGGGTTATACCATTCTCTGCTAGATTGAAGAGCCCATTATCAAATATTTGTTCCCCATATAGGGACTTATAGACTGTAATCAAGTCACTCCTTAACCTTCGCTTTGTTAAGCTAAATTGATTGAGCACTTTCAGTCTGTCATTATAAGGCATGTTTTCTAATTCATTATTCATTCACGTGGCTCTTCTCTCAACCCTCTCTAATTTATCAACATCCTTCTTGAATTGTGGGCACCAGAACTGGACCACTGTATTCCAGCAATGGTTGCACCAGTGCCAAATACAGAGGTAAAATGACCTTTTCACTTCTACTTGAGATTCCCCTGTTTATGCATCACAGGCTACATTAGCTCTTTTGACCACAGCATCACACTGGGAGCTCATGTTCAGCTGATTATCCACCATGTCCCCCAAATCTTCTTCAGAGTCACTGCTTTACAGTCTTCCTTTAGTTTTGGGGACATCATCCCAGGCTTCTTTTATGGCACAGAGCTGAGAGGAATATGAAGACATACTGCATCTTGTAGAATCATTCATACTTCTTGGATCTGAATTTATTTCCTGAGGCTGATTCCCACTCGTTGGTATTTCCTACAGTTTTTTTGTTTGTCTACACCAATGTAACAACCCCAATGTTTGTTTCATACATTTATAAAATTGACTCCACATAAATTAATACCAATATAATCATGTGTTATAAAAGCAGTGAAGAAAATGTTTATCTTCAGATTTTTATATTTGCTTTACTTTTATGTTTGTAACACATTCCATGCACTAACCACAACATATAATACAATATAAATAAATACACTCTTAACTGACACTATTTTAATTAAAGGTGTCATTTATATAAAGCTGTTAGATGCCTGGATTGTTCTGTGCACATCAGTTTATACATTTGTAGAATCAAGGTTAGTGAGGGGATTGCCTTAATATAATATGCGTTTGAGGGCACTCCTCTTACTTTCAGGTGCAATAATTATTTTCCACAGACATGCCGTCTGTCTCAGTATCTGCAGGCAGGCACTTAGCCCTGTAGCGAAAGGGCAAAGAGAAGTTGGCCTTGCTCTGCTGAACCCCATCCTTCACTTTCCCTAAATCCTTCCAACAGCACATTAAACTTTCCAGAAAAGCTAGCAAGCTCTCTAGAAATTAGTGAAGGAGAGATTTCTCCTCAATAAAAACAAGGAAAGGAGTGTAAGAAAGAAACATTAATCTTCTGATATAAAGTTGTTGCTCTCATATAGCTACTGTTGTCTGTACTGTTTATAGTCCCTTAGAGGGTAGGAGAAAGGAGCATAAGCTTTGGCATATGGTTGACACACAAATAGACATTGGCTTTTGCCTGTATTGAAGGGCACTATGTTGTAGCTAAAAAATTTCAAAACATTATTGAATTCCAAAGAACATGAAATAAATACGGGAAAGGTAGCAGTACTGTTTGTTTTAGCCAAATGCATCCTGCTTTGTAATAACCAAATTGACTGGCTGCAGACCCTTGTAAATATATACAGCTTGGTTCAAAGGCAGTAATCCTCATCTGAAAAAAATTTATTGAAGCCTAGAATGACACATTTCCTTCCAACCATTTAATATTTTATGTCTCTATTTGCAGCACTGGGTTAATTGCATCTGTAAATGAGACTGAGGTTTTAAGCTTTCAGAGAGTTCAAAAGTGATGCATAGCACATATAATTGTATAGATTAACATTACAAATGACATTAAATGTTATTTAATGGGAGAAATGGAGAAGCACTGCTCTTAAATTCAAGTTCATACACTGACTTCTCCTGTGTAAAATATCATTGTTAAAAGAGGAGACATCCAACGATGAAAGGCCTGATCCAAAAGCCAGTGAAGAAAATGGAAAGATTCTCATTGACTTCAATGGTCTTTGGATCAGGCCCTATGTGACAGAGTGCTGGGCAACAGCAGTTGAGCCAGTACTCTGGTCACTGCAGCTTTAATAATGATTCCAGAGCAGACCCAATTATCAGAGCTGTGCCTAATGGATGTGCTGAGGAGAACTAAGAGGCTACTCAGACCATTAGGCAGACGATGTAAAAGGAAGGAAGAGGAAGGGAGGGAGGTAGCAGAAAGAGAGAGGGAGATTACCTTTCCCTCCTTGTCTCAGGAGCTGAGGGCTCCCTAGGCCTATAGATGTAAGGCCATATAGTGTATGAAGGTGGTGGAAAACAATATTGTAAATAAACTGCACGGGGTGTTTTACCAGAAAAAGGTCTTTGAGTTGTTTGTGGATTTGAGAAGAGGCATGAGAGAGAGGGGCCCTGCAACACCCTCCAAGAGTTACTACTGAAGTGCAAGATGTTTGATTCTACATACACTACTCAGAGTCATTAGAATGAGGAAACGCTTGGATGGAACTGAAACAGTGTGGTTGTGTTGTATCCAACATTGATTTGGTGGCATTAAGAATTAGTCTTTTCATGAGACTCTGTACTCTACGTGTGTCAGCTGGGGTAGTTCACAAAACTTGGGGCATTCCTTGGCTCGATGAAATATTTTGAACTGGAATTCTGGAACTTTAACTGACTATTTTTCTTTCAACTCCAATCCAGTTCTTAAAAGTTCAAGTTCAAGATGCAGCAATGCTTGTGGAGAGTTGCTGTTATTATCAAAGGATACATGTACACTACATTAAAATCCTAAACCCAGGAGAAATACTTTTCAAATATGTGGAAGAAGGTTATAGTACATCAGACCCAAAATTTGACTTATAACAGTTATTGTTTGGTGATGATTATATGTTGGATTTGAAGTTCCTTTAAAAGAAAAAAATATATGTGATACAGCACTCCATCACGGAGACAAACATATCTATTGATAATGCATGACTTTGCAATATTTTTCTTCTCTTGCTGCAAAAGCAGCCATCTGAGGGAATTAAAGGTAAACAATCCAATCCTGCTGTCTCTGTTGTTCTCAGAAGGATGACACTATTGATGTTTTTGACAAACAGACTAAGTAGACTTTTAATAAGAAGAATAAGTCGCCACATTTCTAACTGAAAGCAAAATCAATTTGTCAAATAAGTAGATAACAATAAAACTGGTGGGGTAAAATATATGCTCGAGTTTCTAACAAGGTATTAAATATAGTTTATACAAGATTTTAAAATGTGGATGCCCCCTTTTAATTTAAGAAAATTACAAGATTTTTGTTCTTACTTTAAATCATTATAATGTATGTTTGTCTCTAGAAAAGATATAAAGAATCATATGCTTTCCTGGTGTCACTTGTTGTTTCTAGTAGATTTCAGTGGCCTCAACCAGTAGTGGCAACAGGTCATTAGGAACAAATGGGGCTAAAGCCTATCAATAATGCCTCAACTGGCACACTATAAATATAGGACCGGATTCTCTAGTGGGAGTGTCCTAAAGAGTCTGTGATCTGGCCATGAATGCCTAGCAGAGAACTATTTTCTGGGTGTTACTGTGCTGGATCTGTGTCTGTTCCTCTGCCTCCACTCCACAGGGGACACTTAAGGGGTGCTTAAGGAGTCAGCTGTCTTCCAGGTCTCAGACCATGGCCAGGAAATGTCTGCGCTGCTAGGCCCTAATTCAGTCAAGCATTGCTGGGGTCTTATGTCTGAATTGTGGCATACGCTCAGTTGGTGAAGAAGGCTCTAGCAGGGAAGGTCTTCCTACTGGGAGTCCCCAAAAGGCAAGAGGAGAATTCTATGCTTGTAAAAAGACCAATATTATAGCTTACCTCTTGGTAGCATTTTCAATTGTTTAATTAAATGGATTTTGTTGATGCTCAGTTCATGGTTAGTGTTACCATATATATATATATGCGTGTGTTTTTGTTTATATTTTTTTCAATAACAGATTCCTGTGCTTCTTAACCTGAGTCAAGATCCTGATGTTAACCTGCCTGTGAAACCACTAATCTTTTCATTGGCCATGGGTGCGTGTCTTGGAGGTAAGGGCTATAATAATTTCAGAATTACTGTATGTATAAACATTCCACAGAATAGCTCAAGAGCAATAAGGCTCCATAATTTTATTATAGAAAACACACTCGGTTCATATGGACCTTGGAGGGCATTGAATCAGGCCCTTAATGAGTGTCTGCTGCATACCCCATAATAGAGTTTATTTCTGATTTGTTTGCAATCTGTGTTTGAAGGCCAAATATGCATAACATAGCCTAAATGCACAGAGTGCTGTCCAGATGGTGCTTAAAGGTTCAGATCCTTTGTGAGGAAAAAGAAAAGGACAAATTTAGCGTTCTGATTCATAGATGCCATAGTGGCTTATTTAAAAGGACATGCAGTTAACGTATAATATATGTGATCTAAAAGTCTGATCCAAAGGCCGTTGAAGACATTGGGAGATTTTCCATTGACGTCAGTGGGCTTTGGCTCAAGCCCAGAAGACTACATACAGATCTATTCACTACCTTATTTAGCACTCCTTACTCAGACAAAACACCCATTGAAGTCAACTTGAATTGAAGTCAGTGGGAGTTGTGCCTTAGTAAGGAAAGCTGAATAGAACCTGGTGGTATTTTAGCTAAAAATAAAATATCATCTTGGTGCTAACTTGGGTTCCTTGTGTTGCTGCTGTAATTAATCTGCCTCAACATAAAACAATGTGATAAATTAGATGGATTTATTTCTCTGCCAAACTTTATTATTAAAGGAGTCCCACAAGGATCTGTTGCAGGCCCAGTTGGCATTCTAATTTATAATAGCTGTATAGGATAGCCATCTGGTAGCACTTGAATTCACCTTTTATGCTGGTTATTCTTTTTTATATTCTACAAATACTTCACTGTCATTGGTTATGAATGAGTTACAACAGGATCTTATAAAAGTACTGACTAATCTGTTTTTAAGTGCAATTACAATAGTGTGTGATTTTAGTAGAATAATAAATCTATGTTGATTTTAATTGCTGACTGTACCTGAGAATTTAATATATAATTAATTATTTAATTAAATGTAAGAATTTAATTTAATTTATGATATTGTGATATGTTTCATCTTATAAATATTTAGATACTTGTTTAGATGCTGCTAAAATTCATGTTGATTTTCCACAATAAAAACTTAAACCCAAATTGAGCTTCCTGTGCTATACAGGCCTTCTCTCATTTATTCAGCTAAGTGATTGCTAGTTCAAATGACCTTAATACCCAGCAAGGATTATGATGATGTAATTGACAAATTGACTTTTAAGGGTGCATTGCAAGAGGTTGGACACTATATCAATCACCAATCATTTGTTACTGGGACATCTTTTCATAGTCATCATTGTGACTTAGCCAGCTGATCTATCCCTCTTCATCACAGGGGTATGAAGCATTAGCATTTGTTAAAGTAAGGGCTTAGCTAGACAAAGAGTTAGTTTGCAGTGAGCTGGGATGTAAATTTATAGTGCACTAGCCTGCTGTGCGCTAACTGTGCGGACCGTTCCACCATGCACTAAAAGTTCCCTAATACAGTTTAATCTACTTTCATTTCAAACAGCAACAGGTCAGTGTGCACTAGGGAACTTTTAGTGCATGGTAGCAGGGTCCACATGGACAATTAGCATATGTCATGCAGGTGTGCTGTAGGTTTACTCCCCAGCTTGCTGTGCATCAACTGATTGTCTAGACAAACCTAAGAAGTGTCAGAGTATCCTCTTATTTCCAGAATTTGCTCATGCTTGCCTCCGCGCATCTCTAAGATACTACTCCAGTTTCATTAAAGTGGTTGGCTGGGATTTTCAAAAGAGGGAGTTAGGTGGCCAAATTCCATTGGAATTAAGCAGGACTCAGATACTTAACCCCTTTGGGCTTTTTAGTAGAACTCAGCTGTCATTTCTAAAGTTTCACTTACAACAACAAATATGGACAAGAAGGTATAATCATGTGCTCTTAAAGAGAGACAGTGATTCATGTATGTATGTATGTATGTATGAAGTATGCAAAATTGGTAAAGGTGTGAACGGTGCTTTGGGATTTATTTAAATGAAAGGCACTATGTGAATACAAGAAATGCTTTGATACTAAGTACCTAGATGAATAGCTTCATAGAGGATTATCATTATTAGTTAGTAAACTCAGAAATGAACTCTCTATACAGCCCTTTATCATTATTTGAAAATTAAGTTGAAGGTATTTCAAATGAAGTAGCTACTGTGGAAGGCTGAATGAAACATGTCAGTCAGTGGATGGATTGCCTGCAGGCCAAGGTACAGACTCTCTTGGTGCTCACATTGCAAAACAATCTGCTATATCTTGGAAGCCAGTGAAGGGGAACTTGGTGTCAGAGCAGTGACTGGAACTTAAGAATGAAAAATGCTCAGAATACACTTGTTTAAAGTGCTCTAGCAGCCAAAAAAGACTAGACCAATCTTCTCCTATGAAAAAACCAGTGATGACCTTTTTGAAATTCATTACAAAGGAAGAATTTGTGTGTTGAAATGGTGTAAAGAAATCCCATGAGGGCAACTAATCCTATTGTATTGTAACTATACAATACAATTATAATGTGATTCTCTGCTGCATTGAGCAGAGACTGGATCCTACCAGCCACCCATGCAATCAAGGAAATTAAGTACACAAGCCATTGTGTAGGGGAATTTGACTAACCAGTGCAATTTGACTCACCAAACATGGATTTACAATTTGTTTGTTTGCAGTACACAGCAGCAAGACTCTGTTGAGACATTGTTAGCGGGGCCTAGGGTAAAGGCTAGTGTAGGAGGGTCAGTTCACCACTTGGCCCTTTCCCTGGCACTGGATAATGCCCTTGAACGCTAGTACTAGGGCATTTAAATGTATGCTGCTTCTTCTTTTCTGCCCCTGGTTGCGCCTCATGTAGTTGTGGGTACTCTTGGGGGAAGGTAGGGATGAGGAAATACTCTCACTACTCTCCCAACTCTGCAGTGGCTGCCATGGAAGTGGGGTTTTGGGGTACAATCCAGACCAGTGAGAGGTGGTGTCACTGCTTGTCCTTGAGTGCCTTAAAGTGCTCTGCTACTGTAGCTCTCTGTATGGATGCTCCCAGCCAGCATACAAGAATTTATGGAGTGTCTATGGTTAAGCAGCCCTGGTTCAGCAACTCTACAGCCACACTCTGGTCTTCACCAGCGGTGCTTACTACTAGCCATGTGACCCCAAACCACTCCCAATCCTGAATTTCCCCAAAACCATTTGCCCTGAAATGCCCAGCCATTTTCTGAAACGTTCAGAGGAGTAATAAGGTCCATTGCTCCTTTAAGGGACGAAAGCACAGCAACTCGTTGCCTTAATTGGAGTTAACAGCACTTATATTCAAACACAGCACTGGCTTAGTATAGATTTAAAAATAAAACAAGTTTATAAAGAAAAGAGGTTTTAAGTGAGTTCAAGTGCAAGATGGTTACAAGCAAATAAATGTAAAGTATGCTTTCTAGTGGCTAAGATTTAACAAGCTATAGCCTTGGTTCAAAGTAGATTTCTTACCAATCTTTCTCCTTCCCAGCTATGGCTGACTTTCTCTCAGTTAGGAACTTCCACAGAAGTACAAGGTGCCAGTTTCTCTTGTCTTCCTAGGTGAAAGATCTTTTGCCTAAGTATGTTTCCCACCTATATTCAGTTCCCAGAAACTTCAGCCCCCTTGATTGAAGGGCCCTTCTTTCTCAGCTTTCAAGAGCTCCAGCGCCTTGTGTCTGTCCAGTGATGGATGCCAGGATGGCATCTTCTTTCTCCTTATATCTTCCCAAACTCAGTTTTCCCCCCAGACTCAAGATGACCTCAAGTTATTCTTCCCTTCCTGTGGACTTCCCACCCCCCTGCCAATTCGTATATAAATGGGAATTCCATTATTTTGATCACACCTGGCTTAATTTAATTGAAGACAGATAGCTAACTGCCTTCCCTCTACTCTGGGAGAAAACCTTTTTCTCCCTTTGATTGGTCACAGACTTCAAAGCATAATATCAATGAGTACCCATAATTACTCATATAGTGTTAATACATACATTTCACAATGACATTATCACTAGTGTGTCATTAGCTTTCATAAAAGACCTTACTTGATACCCTATTGTAATTCAGTTATACAGTACACAATCAATTGATTCAATTACTTATCATTTGAGGTTCAGACACCCTGTCTTTATAGTCCAGTGTGTCATTGAAATGTGTTCTCGAATAAAGTTTTTTCCTCCTTCTGGGAAGAGATCCTGTGAAATCTGATGAAGACTTCACGTTGGTTCCTTATCTGCTGGTGATACTCGAGTCGTTACCTCCTCCCTTTGTTAGCTTGATGGATTTGTTTACCTTTTATATAAATGTACTTTCACTCTCTCTGCCTGACAAGCAGGCTGGTCAAACAAACTAATCCAAATGCTTTGTCTAGGTCAGACTGGGCTTGCATGGCTTTTCAAATACATTTTAAGAAGCATAATTTCAATGAGTTATTAGTTTTCCAATGATATTTTACATGACCCCTTTTACATACAGATTATGACAGTAGTGAACTAGAGTCCACTGGATTGGTCAGGACAGCTGGAACTCACTGCAACATGCCAGGGAGCTCCTGGCCATCTGACATTGGGATGTGGGGAGAGGATTACTTCCAGTTTTGCTTGCTGTTTCCCTTTTTTTGAAAAGCAGATGGGGTGGACCTGGAACACCAAACTTTCCTCTCAGTCCAGAGGCAGTGGTGGACATGACTGGCTCAATGCCTCCTGCAACACAGGAGAGGCAGCAACAGCTCTGCCCAGGTACACTGGAGAGGATAGGCTCTCAGAAACCAGTCACAGCTCCCTAATTCTCAGGGATGTCCCTGAGTATTTGCCAGCTTTATGCCAGCAGAGATTCCCTTTACACTGGGTGAATTCTTTAGGGGAAATCTCTGACCAGTGTAAGTTAAGCTTCTATAGTCAAACGTGAACATGTAGACTGGAGATGTAAAGCTTGCCTGGGCTTATGATTTCTTCCAT